GGGTTTTGTAAAGTAAGTTGCTGTATAAATCCCAGGGAATAACAGGAGGAAGTTACAGTTTTGTCAAGTATTTGGTCTTTCTTCAGTAGACATTTGGGCATTGAGAGCTGTGGAAGTCATCGAGATGGTAATGACTGTCCCTTTCCTCAGAGCCTATAGTCCTAGCAGAAGAGAACTGCTTGTGAAGAACTAAATGCCTCAGGCATGATGTAAGTTCATTACTGTTGAAATAAGGGGCAGATAAGAGGAGGGGGTTGGGAGGGTGAGAGGCAGGCAGGTCCTACATTACAGAAGTCATTGATACAGGTTTGACCTGTGTGGAACCCAACTCGAGAATTGTAGAGCTGTCGGCTCCGATGAGAGCCTTGGGCCTCAACTCTGTTGTTAGTACGTGGCTCACCAGAAAAATCCCTTCAAGAGTTTCCAATGGTCCTCGGTTGTGCCCTGTCTCTCAAGAGCATAGTCTCATCGGCAGTAATGTCTCAGTTGCTCTGTGGCGAAGATGTTAAAGGCGCTGTGGAACTCATGTTTCCAGAGTTTGCTTTTTACATGCCAAGCTTATTTGGAGATAGACTTGATTTTTACCCCAAGATTGTCTTCAAGGCAGGTGTGTTCTGACTGCTTTCAAGCAGGGTGGGGAAAATGTCTCCTACAAAGGTAAGTCACATTCAGATGACCTCAGTGAAAACATTGGGTGCCAATTTTCTTAGACTGTCAAAGTGCGGATTTTAATTGAGTGGGTTTGAGGCCTGAGATTCTGCTTTTCTAAGCTCCTGGGAGGTGCCAGTGCTGCTGGTCCTCGGACCACGCTGAGGAGCACGGATAGGGGTTTGTTTGCTAAGGAATAATAGCTGCTTGTAGTTTTCACAGTCGCCTCTAGATATCCCCATCATCCATGAGATCTGCTCCTAGCATTCCAACCAGCAGCCTCCAACCCTGAGAATGAAATGTTAGCAATTGATTGAAACTTTAAAATTTATTGAGGCTCTAAAAACCGGTGTTTGGATTCACTGCTTTTATGTGGGACTGACTCTGGTGGTGAAAAAAATGTTTACTCTTTTAAGGAAAAAAACTGTCTTGAAATCAAGTTGCTTGCTCAAGAATTTTCCAGCTACCTATTTTATTTACCATGAAATGTTAAATCCAAATCAAAACACCTCAGAAATTAGTTAACTACGTGAAAGTTACAGTAATGAATTATTTTCAGTCTTAAAACGTGGATTTGTAAAAGAAATAGTGTTCATACTAGTAATTTTATCACCATAAATTCACCTATAAACTTCACTAGTATAAATAAAGCTGTTTAGGCCTCCTGCATACGAGTACATAGCAGACCTCAATTTACCACTTGTGGTATCCTGACAAAGGTACTTACCTGGTTTCTGTAGCTGTGTGAATGGAAGAAGCAGGTTTGGTGAGCGCTTGAGGAAGGAGCCGAGAATGGGAGGAACCGGCGAATCCGCGTGTGACGTTGGTGAGACATGGCGCCAGGATTCACTTGACTGTCTGGAGAGCCCAACCTCAAAGCCACTGAGCCTGTTGGTACCAGGAATGATGTACCACAACTCTTTTTGTCTTGAAGGAAAGAATTCAGTCAAGAGGCAGTTTGTCAGCATAGAACAGCAAGAAGTTTATTAGGAAAAGCGAGTACACTCAGACACGGAGCGGGCTGACCCGAGAGAGGGAAGCAGCCTCTCCTTTCATTGTGTGATAGTTTTTATCTCTATGGGTAGAATCGTCTCCCCCTCTTCCTCTCCAGCACCTCTCCCAGCTGACTGCCCCGGATCCCCTTCTTGCTCCCAAGGTTGTCTGAGCTCATAACCATGGCCCCGAGAAGCAGGGTGTCCATTCTGATAAGCAGGATGGTTTCTCTCTCTCTCTCTCTAGCTTCTAACAAGGCATCCCTTTGATTAGGGGCATGTGTGAGCCTGGAGTCCTGCTGGGCTCCTGAGGCACTGGTGCCCTGAGTGAGGGCAGCTGCCAGGGGTCTGGACCCAAGTAGGAGCTGCAGCCAGGGGCTTTCTAACCGGGGCTGGGTCTCTCCTGCTGTCTATCTACCTTCCCTATCACTATAACAATAGTCAAGTCCCATGATCTCTAGACAGTTTCTTCCTAGGACAAGATGGCTCTTAGGTCAGTGGCTTCAGTAACTCAGGTGCTTTTGAAAAAAGTGCATTGAGCTTTTCTGAAATCTGCCAACCTGGTTGCACGCTCGTGTTACGGAGAAGGGAGCCCTGAGGAAAGGCCCTCAAGACTTACCCAGTGGTGTCTGAGCAACTGCTGTGGTCACAAGCACTTGAAAATTGCAAATATGGCCAAGAAGGTGCACACGGTACCTCGCCTACCTTTTTATTGAGATGACTACATGTACATGAAACCTTATGATTTGCCCATGACTCCGCGAGTTTCCAAACCCCCAATCTCTCCAGACGAGCCCACCAGCTTCCTCGTGCTTTTTGGTGGACTCCCAGCTGTGGGAACCTGCTGGTGCCGGGCTGTCCTGTTTCGCTTCCCTTCTGGGGGGGGGGGGCCTCCCCGCCCCTCCGCTGGCTCCACCTCCTGGCGAGGTGGTTGTCGGTTTTCGTGTAACAGGTTGGCAGGAAGTGGATCTGCAGACCTGGGGGGCACGAATGAGTGTCCTCTGGCAGGCCTCGGGTGGGCCACCAGAGCGGCCAGAAAGTAACAGCCGGGTGATGACAGTGGCCGTTTCAAGGCCTGACTTCAACTCCTTACACCCACAATCACCCCAGAATAGGCTGCCGTCGGTCGGGTGGGCGGTGCCTGCGCTCGGCCTCGGGACGCCCGGAGCACAGCCTGGGTTTCGGTTTCGGACGGGTGCCGCCTCGCCTCGGTCACGTCAGGCTGCGGTTCCCGTGGCAACGCCAATCCTCGGCCGACCCGGGCGGCGGAAGCAGCGACACTGGCCGGCCCCGCACTGGGAGCCGGGCGAAGCCGGGTGAAGCCCGGCGGCGGGTTGGACTGTGCGCCCGGCCATGCGGCGCCCACTCTGGCTCCTGCTGCCCCTGCTGCTCTTGGCGCTCGCGGGCGCGCTGGGTCATCGCGGCCCCGCCGGGCCGAGGGAGGCGGCCGAGGAGGCAGGCGCTGGTCGGGCCTGGCGGGCGATCCAGGGTCTGCAGGAGCGGCTGAGGGCGGCCGGCGGCGTCTCCAAACGGTACTGGGTGCTTTTCAGCTGCCGCTTGTGGCCCGAGACCTGTGACCAGGACGAGGAGGACCCCCCGCGGCCCCCGGGTAAGACCCGGCCGCCTGGCGATGGGGGGAGCGGCGGGATGTGGCGCAGCTTTCAGCTCGCTCCTGCTCTGCGCCATCGTTCTCCGGGCCACCCAGCAGGCGCCTTAGCTGCCAGCTTTACTGTGCTGCCCAGCCCCTTGGGGACCAGGAAGCCCCATCACTGCCCCCCCCACCCTGGCGCAGCCCCCTTATGCAGACGATAGGCCTACTGCCCTCCCCCATGCACCCCGATCTTGACTCCTCCGGACAGCTCATGCCTTCTTGATGGCTTTAAGGAAAAGTGCCGGGTCGGACACCCCGAGTCCGTTTTCCTATGCTGCTTATGGAGGCAGAGCTTGGGCTGGGAGTCCTAGACCTGAGCTCTGGGTCCTGCTCTGTCACTTACAAGTTGTGTGGCAGTCTTGTCAATCCCATCACTGTCATGGACCAGATGATCTCTAAGGCTCCTTGCAGTCTGTCAGTAATTCTAGGTCCAGTAATAGTACTATAATGGTACCCCTGTAATGGTGCTCTAAATATCTTTCGCTTAGATCAAAAGATTTCTAATTTCCAGTGGATGGTTTTTGTTTCGTTTTTGCCAATGCTGGGTATAGTCGAATGGACATTTGACAAAACAATTTAGAAGCCTTTGCGGTTGGCTGTGATCAGATGATTTTGGAAACCAGAGCAAGTAAGAATGATAATCACCAGCTACTGACTGTCTCGCTAGGAGACTGCAAACTCGCAGGCAAGGCCTGGGCTTCTTACACCTCAGGTGCAGGGCTGAAGGCATGTTTTGTTGGGTAAGTTGAGCCTTTGCTGGAGCTGCATCTATGGGGAAGCCATGTGCTTCCTCAAAGCTGGTGGTGCCACAGGTGCCCATTCCCTGGCAAGGTGCAAGGAAGGCCCAGGGAGGAGCAGTGAGTGGCTTGGGAGGGAGGAGACAGGACAGGAAGAAGAACGCGGGGAGGCAGTACCAGGCTCCCCCGTGGCCTCAGCTCTGTCTCACAGCTCCCCCTCTTCCAGGCTGGAGCCTCCCACTGTTGGGCAAGCAGTACCTGGATATCCTGACCACGTGGTACTGCAGCTTCGGGAACTGCTGCGATGGCGGGGACTGCAGGATCTCCAACAACTTCCCAGGTTGGACCTTGCGTGGCCCTAAGGGAATGGGGATCTGTAGGGAGGGGAGGCGATTCAGGGGAACAGCGAGGGTGCAAGGGACCTTTTATCGTCCTGCCCACAACTGGCAGCACACCCTCCTCCCTGCCCCCACCATGGCTCCCAGTGGCCCACGGCTCCAACCCCAGCAACCTCATGGCTGAGAGGAAGTAAGGCCTATGGAGAAGGCTTGGTGCACTCTAGCTGCTCCCAACTGGCATTTGTTGAATTTAAATAAATAAAACGAGGGTGTCTCCATAAAACGGGAAATGTGTCTCCTGAGACGTCTAGGTGGGAGCAATGTCATGGGCATGGGTGGTGGGGCGCCTCCAGACAGGACTCTGCCAACCATTGTGGAGGGTCTTCAGGACCTTCAGAAAAGGTGATCCTATTCTCTCCTTAAGTTTAATCTTGATTTCTCAAACTCTTTAGAAAATAGCTCTTGGATCCCTTCTGCTGCCAGGGCTGCCCAGTGGCTTGTTCTGAAGCCAAATAGGATGGATAAGTGACCCCACCACAGAGATGTTCAGACGTGCTCACTCTCAGGCGTTGCCGCCCCTGGTGGGGACTGCCCCTGTGTGCGCCTCTCACTGTGGCCTCCTCTTTGCCGCCCTTAGGCCTGGAGTCGGACCTGAATGTGCGGCTGCACGGCCAGCATCTGGCCCAGGAGCTGGTCCTGACCACAGTGAGGGGCTATTTAGAGTTGCCCCGGCCAGACAAGGCCCTGGCCCTGTCGTTCCACGGCTGGTCTGGCACAGGCAAGAACTTCGTGGCGCGGATGCTGGCGGAAAACCTGTACCGGGACGGGCTGCGGAGCGACTGCGTCCAGGTGTTCATCACCATGCTCCACTTCCCTCACCCCAAGTCTGTGGACCTGTACAAGGTGAGGCCGGGCAGGGGCTGGAAGGAGGCGCAGACAGCCCGAGGAGCAGCCCTCTGTGCTGGGAGGGAAGCCCTGAAGCCAGCCCTTCCTTTCAGACCCTGGAGAAGCCTGGGGGTCGGGCTGGGGACAAGGAGCCGTTTGGACAGAACCTGTAACCCACACAGATGAGGCCCTGACATGTGGAGGAAGGACACCTGTCCCGAGCTCTGTCTCCTTACCAGCCATACGTGAGGCCAGACCCTGAGCTGCCACAGAATCCATGTGTTCATTTTTCTGCTGTAGAAGTGGTGGAAATGTCACAGGAAATGTGGGACAGAGGAAGGCAAAACCTTGATCACATTCTCCCCACACAGACACATCCGGTTAGCATTCTGTTTACTTCCCTCAAGCCTTTCCCCTGTGGTGTTTTATGTCCCTGGAATTGTACTGGACAGAAAGTTGCATGGCCTGCTTTTTTTTTTTTTTTTTTTAAGGGGCATGTCATATCATGTGATTTTCCACGACTTCCCCAAATCGCTCATTATAGGCCACCAAGTAGAGGAACAAAAATTGTCTGCTGCTCTGCTATTTTGGGGTTCTTCCATTGAGACATGTATAAATAGTATTTAAAGTCAGCCGGACAATGATCAGAGCCCCAGTGTAGCATGACGAAGATGACTGCGTGTCTTTGGCTTTCAGTTCTGATATTTGGAGTGCGATAACCTGGGAAGATTATGTAAGCCTCTGAGGACAGAGACTGCATGAGTCACCTGGCAGTTTCAGTGTGGCCTGGGAGGGCAGGGGCAGAGTAACTAAGGGCAGGCGCCTGGTCAGCCGGGCCTTCCCAGAAAGGACTAGCTGACTTGGACTGTGGCAAAGCTGCTGTTGATCTCAGCTTCCGCACTGAGAGCTGACATGTATACGCACTCTCACAGCCCACATGTCCTCTGTCGCATGCACTCAGGTGACAGGGCTGAAGCCAGAATCAGAGGCTAGGGGTGGACAGTGAGTGTGAGCTCTGCCAAAACCCCCACCCTGGGCCAGGAGCTGGCCTGTGAACCCTGCAAAGTAGCATCTTTTCTACTGAGGGCTACCTGGCCTGGATGGGGAACCCCAGTTCTGAATTGGCTGGGCCCCAGACAGGTCCTCCCCAAGCTTCCCTGCTGAGTTCTCAGCCCATCCTGGGTGCCAGCAGGTGCTCTGCACCTGGGAGTTCAAGACGGGACTACCACCTCTGGGCACTTGAGCCTCTCTACCTGTCACCCTATATTAGAGTCTGACTCCCACCCTCTGGGAGGGTGAGTTGGCTGTTCTGGGACCTCATCCTGGCCGGGAGAGAGCAGCGCTGCAGCCTGTTCCCAAGGGCAGGCAGGCCCTTCCCCTCCCAAGTCGGCTTTCCACCTCGGGTGCAGGAGAGTCACCTGGGAAGCTTGTTGGAGGGCTGCCCTAGCCCCGCCCCCAGCGGTTAGTCCCGGTAGAACCCCTCCCCAGCCCCCGGCAATCCGGCAATCCGCTGCAGACACCCAGGGGAAATGGGTCTCTCCGGGGTTGGAGGGTGGGCGTGTGCCTGCCAGGGCTCCCCAGCAGCTCCTGTATCTGCAGGAGCGGCTGACAGACCAGGTGAGGAAGATGCAAGCGCACTGCCATCAGACCCTGATCATTTTTGATGAGGCCGAGAAGCTGCACCCGGAACTGCTGGAGGCCTTGGGGCCACACCTGGAACGCCAGGCCCCCGACAACCACAGGGCTGAGTCCCGGAGGACCATCTTTCTTTTTCTCAGGTAAGGTCTGAGGGACGACAGGCGGACTGGGCCAGGGCGGGGTGAACCCTCTGTCCAGGGGCTGCGTTTGCCATCTTGGGGGCTGCTATCTGGCACGTAAACTGGCGATGGAGGGCTTCCACGCTCTCCGAGGCTGCAGACGCCTTTTCCTCCAGGGAAAGCCACACAACTGCAGTAGAGAAAACAAAAGGCTGGCTGCTTGGGGTAGCAGGGGTGGGAGCCTTAGGTCTCCCCGCTCCTGACCTCGTTCTACCCCCAAGGCCCTGCGGGGGCGACCTGGGGAGAGCAGGTGCCCCTCATCTAGCCTCCCCCGTGATTCCCAGGATGGTGATGCTCCCCTCTGACACTCCAGGTGAGGCACTGCTCACACACTGGGAGTCCCCTCTTAGAAGGGCATTAAGGTTGTTGGCTTTGGTTGTTTTTTTTTACATTGAGGTATAATCGACTTTTAACAGTATATTAGTTTCAGGTGGACGTGATTGAATATTTGTATATACAGGCACACCTCGTTTTGGCGTGCACTTCACAGGTGTTGTGTTTGTTTGTTTTTTTACAAATTGAGGGCAAGACCCTCCACTAACAAAAGGATTCTGACTCGCTTTATGGTGATACTTGCTGTATTACAGTGGTCTGGAACCAAAACCACAGTATCTTCGGGTGTGTCTGTATCGTGAAATGGTCACCACAATAAGTCCAGTTAACATCCGTCATCAGACATAGTTACAAAACTTTTTTCTTGTCATGAGAACTTTTAAGATCTACTCTCATAGCAACTTTCAAATCTGCAATTTAATATTAGTAACTAGTCACCATACTGTACGTTACATCCCCAGGACTTATTTTGTAGCTTGAAGTTTGTACTCTTTGGACCTCCTTCACCCATTGCCTCTGGCAATTACCAATCTGTTCTCTGTATCTATGAGCTTGGGGATTTTTTTTGTTTAGATTCCACATATAAGTGAGATTATATGTTTGTCTTTCTCTGTCTGACTTATTTCACTTAGCATAATGTCCTCAAGGTCCGTCTATGTTGTCGCAAAGGGCAAGATTTCGTTGTTTTTTTATGGTTGGATAGTGTTCCATTGTGTATAGACCACATTTTCTTTATGCATTCATCCATGGATGGACATCAGGTTGCTTCCATGTCTTGACTATCGTGAACAATGTCGCAGTGAACATGGGGGTGCAGATGTCTTTTCAACTTAGTATTTTCATTTTCTTTGGATAAATACCTAGAAGTGGAATTGCTGGATCATATGCTCTATTTTTAATTGTTTGAGGAACCTCCGTACTGTTTTCCATAGTGGCTGCACCAGTCCACATTCCCACCAGCAGTGCAGGAGGGTTCCCTTTTCTCCACATCCTCGCCAGGATGCCAGGATTTATCGCTGGGCTTTTTGATAATAGCCGTTCTAACAGGTGTGAGGTGATAATGTGGTTGTGATTTGCATTTTCTTGATGATCAGTGATGTTGAGCACCTTTTCCTGTGCCTGTTGGCCATCTGTATGTCCTCTTTGGAAAACTGTCTATTCAGGTCCTCTGCTCCTTTTTTAATCAGATTGTTTGGGTTTTTTTGCTATC